TACTGCTGTCTGTCCTTCTCCTTTCTGTACGATGGCATAGCCAAGCTTCTCTAGTTTGACAATTATGTTTATGCCACAACATGATTTAAGACGATCTAGGTAGCACACGGTTGAAAATCTGGTGGCTAATCCTCAGAACAATTTTGCTTAAGCAATTCTCCTAAATAGTTCCAGATTATGTTCTTGTTAAAAGCCAGATATATGTAGAGAAGAGCCTCGATGTGCAAAAGAACACACCGAAGGGGAACAACGGCTGATTAGATGGCACACAGAAAAATAAGAGGACCGAAAATGGCAGTATCGTTAAGTTGAAAAAGGAGACGGGTGTTCTTTACAAAGCAGAAATTTCAGAAACCCTATATCCAGAATAAGACAGAGTAGTAAGAGTTAGGCCAAGGGTAGGAGCAATCGGAACCATTTGAGGAGTTACCCTCACATCTGTGAATGGTTAACTTCATTATGTATTGTCGGGGATACCTGAACAAACATATCTTCAGCAAAAAAAAAAAAAAAAAAAAAGAAGAAAGAAAAAAAAATCGAAAGGTTAATAAAGGAACAGCTTGTAGTCAGATACAGTGGTTCAGTATGGCGGCTAGCAGAGACAGAGCCGGGGCCGCTACTCACCATGGCGGCTGCAGTGGCCGCAGCCTGAGCAGCTGCAGCCTGGTTGACCTGGTACTGGGCAGCCTTGATCTTGGCTTGCAGATGTGCGGGAGGGTGAAAGTATTTGCACTTTTCCCGTGAGCATCTCCCTTTGATGTAATCCATGCACACGGTGACTGTGTTGTCATTGGTGTCAATCATTGTGCTGTCAGCAGGATGAGCAAACCGACAGTCGTTTTCTCCTCTGTTGCAATTGCCTCGCTGGTACTCTCGACATACCTACGAGGTCATGAAGCGCAGGGGGCTCAGTCAACATGGGCAAAGAGAATCCTTCCGAGGATTTTGACTTAAAGTGCAAGACTGGGGGTAGAAGGCCACACGCAAAGGGGAAAAAGATCATTTGCAAAAAAAAAAAAAAAAAGGCACCGAATAACCTGAGTTCCTCAATGAGTGCACAAGTTATAACCCCAGCTCAGTAGGACTTCCATGAGAAAGAAAATGCATCTTTGATATGAATTAGGTAAGACATCCAATTTAAATTATGTTGATGTACTTATTAATTACCAAGGGAAAAACAGTAACTTTACAGTGAAGAGACCTGGCAGGCCCCACTTTAACCAAGTGATCAAAGTTAATAACGCCAAGAGGAAGACATAACGGCATCATGTACCCATTGATAGGACGCACCGATAAAAAGGCCACCACATCACTTTCGTTGTATTATTGCTGAGACTGCATAACCTGAATTTAATCATGAGAAAACATCAGACAAACTGAAGTGGGGGAATGTTTTACGAAATAACTAATCAGTACCCTCTTAAAAGTATCAAGGCCGTGAAAGGCAAAGGACGATGAGACACTGTCACCGACTGAATGATCCTGGGGTCAGAGAAAGGACATTGGTAGAGAAACTGGTGAAATCTGACTGAAGTATGTAGATTGGCTAATAGCAGAATATCACCGCCAATTTGTTTTGTAAGTGATGACACGGTCATGTGAGTAGTTAATATTTAGGTAAACCGGGTGACGGATAGGCAGGAACTCTTCATTCTATTTTTAAAACTTCTGTGCTATCTGAAATTATTTACAAGTAAAAGTATAAAAAGTAAAACTTCACAGCTTTTTAGTAAAATGTTTCCAAGGGCTATGTTTCTGATCATTAGAGATTCACTTGGTAGTTATATGAAGCAGAGGGAAAAAGATTAGTTTTTGTTACTGTCTATTTGGTTTATATCTGTTAATTGTGGATGGAGTCCCTGGGGAAAGGGTGAAAATGGATCATTTCTCATGTGTCTGCTCAATTTTGACTCTTCCTATTAAAGTTTGTCATGATGGCTGCTCAAAATCAGGAAGCTGCCAACACCAGCTCCATTTGGGATAGTTTGACCTTTTTACCACAAGAGGGCCATCTAAAACACAGAATGTCCTTTTAATATTTTCATGCTCCTACTTTGTGCTTCAAGGAAAGTTTTTATTTTTCATGTATCTTTTCACAAACTGAGAAAATATACAGACCCCAAACACTTTATTTTGGAGTACAGCAAGAAAGAGACACGGGAACCGTGTTATGATTTTAAAAGCAAAGGTTTTCTTGGATTTGTGTACATAAAATGATCACATTCAATTCTAGGTACTTTTCCCCATTATATCTATATCCCATTATTGAGCAAAGTGCTTCCTTTTAAGAAGACCGCTGTAATTCGTATCATGCTACATCTGAAAATGGGCATTATAAATGACATCTTGCACTATTTTTAAACCTCAAGCTAGCTGAAGCCTTGTATTCCATATACACAGCAATGAACTGACTTTATTCATCACCTCATTCATTTATTTAATTTAAAAAAAATTACTGAACAAATTACATAGGCCAGACACTCTGAGAGATATTAAGAATCCAAAGATGACTTAGGAAGTTACAGAGGACCCTCTTGTTTTTTCCTCATTGCGTCTGTCTTCTCGAACAGAAGAAAACAAGGCTAACCAGGAGTTTATAATTTGAAAAGTGAAAGTGATTAAGCTGTTCCCTTGAACTACTGTCCTCCACTCTAGCTGATCAGCTGCGGAGCTTTCTACACCACAAATCCCCAGTCCCTAACCAACACTTAACTGGATTAGGCTCAACAAAACATGTGTGACAAGAGAGACACACTTCACTGAGAACAAAAACTTCTCATGTATGTATACGAAATTTATGCTGAATTTATACTATCGTATGAACACAAAGGCTATCTTTGTGTTGAAGCAAATCCATGTCAATGCAGTGTCATACGACAGGAAACTCTCCATGAATGCACACTTCTGGGGTTAGTTCTCCAGTAATTCTTGCTTTCTTGAACATGCTCACAAACGAACTGGCAACAGATGAGCTGACACCCTCCCTATCTGTCAATTTATCTTACTCTTTGCCACAATGACAAGAAAGATCTGAAAGTAGCCTATTTGTGGGCTCTTTAATAACTATTAAAATCTAAGATTCCTTATTTTCCCAAAAACAATTATGCCAGTGCCTGGTGCCAGACATTTGAGCGTCATTCTCCCAAAATACAACCGGAGTGCTGGGCTTTTGACTTTTTGTTTCTCTGTCTCAACACTCTTTTCACGTTCAGTGATATAAACCGAGATTTAGATTGCATACAAATGGTCATTCTAACACACCTCATTCCTTTCTGTTTGCTTCGTGCATGTGATTCCGTGGTTGGTACAGGTTAAGGACTGGTTTATTAAACTTTTCCACTCTTTCCTCTCTTGCAAGATGTGATTCAGGAGAATTCTCAATGTATTTAAGGAATCCACTTGGAATTTGTCCCACAACCAGCCTTTTCGAAGGTTCAGAGGATTTAGTCAACTGCTTTGGCATGATCTGCATTTTTTACGGTCTTATTTTTTCCTAGTTTCAAGTTCTCCCAACATGAGAAATGGAACAGAATAAATACACTGAAATAGCTGTTCCCCCATTATTTCTGCTTTTGAAAAAATAAACAAAAAACAAAAAATCTCCTAAAAAACTTGTACTGCTGAGCAAGCTATCTGCCGGGGGGGTTAGCGAAGTGCGCCACATGCCAGATGTGCATCTGCATCACTGGTACCTACCTGAATAGAGCAAATTTCCCAAGGCTTTTAAGACATATTTTTGTCTAATGATCACCAATAAAACAGGATCTATCCCTTGACTGTCGAATTTGGGTTTGGCCTGGTTTCTTTGATGAACTCAAGAAAACTTTAGACTATGCTGATCCTCAAAAAAAAAATCTCTTGGATATAGTATTATATTAGTAAATGAAATAAGTGGCTGACAAAATGTCAACAAATTTGATCGTATAATTCAAATCAGGATAAGAAATTGTATGATTTACCATACAGAGAAGTTAAAACACGACAGGTTTAAAATCCTAACAACACTGTGGTTCTTTTTTCTCTTCTCGTCCAGTCTTCTGCAGGTACACATTTTTCAAATAGTTGTAATGATGGTATAGCTTCTACTTGGTGACCTGTTTTTTGTTCAACAGTGTTCGTAAGCATTTTTTTTTTTTTACTCAATAGTGTCTGGCATGATCATTTGTGATGGCTGCATCAAATTCCATCAAATCGATGTGCATAATATAGATAACTCTTTCAGAGATCATTTAGATTATTTCTAGATGTTCTCATGTTACAAATAATATTGCAAAGAGTATGTTCACGACTATAGATATTTAAAAAAACATCTTCTAAGGTTAAATCTGCGGAAATGGCATTAGTGGGTCAACAGATACAAGTACTTTTTATAGTTTGGTAAGTGGATTAAATAATTAGATTAATTAGATTAAAATAATTCCATCTATTTAGCTAAACACAAAATGTGTTGCAATCAAGAAAATGTTGAGTCTTTTACTCTTTAAACATTAAGGCAGGATTTGCTTTGTAAATCACGTAAGTTTGACAAATTTTCATACAAAATAGTAAGAATCTGTTTTTACATTAAAACCCATCAAGTCAATAAAGATAGCCATTGAAAACATTTAAATACTAAATTCCATTTCGAGAACCATCTATGCAATAAAGTTTATAACTTTAAAAAATCAAAAGAAAAAAGTACTTAGAAAAACTTCCCAAAGAAATGTGAATTATTCTATATAAACCTTTTCTTGTTAATTAAATAGCAGTAGTAGAGTGGAAAGAAAATAGAGTTTAGCATCAGAAATTGTGGGTTCTATCTAGTTACTATACTTACCAGCTATGGAATCATGAATACTGAGTAAAATAATGGATAGATGGTTGAAAACACATAATACAAATCTGATTAAAATAAACAGTTCTGTTATTTGACCTCTAGGGTTTTTTTGGTTTTGTTTTTGTTTTTTTTTTATGAATGTGACAAGCATATTTCAAAATGGTTAGAATAATAATAGGTTTTATAAGTAGTATTAAATTCAGCAATGTTCTGCAAGGTAAGGCATTGGAATTCTCAGAACATTAATGTCAATGTTTGAACTTATTCAAAACTGGACAGTCATTTGCGTGTTTGTTAAGGAGAGAACTCTTTGAAGTAATATGTTTTGTGCTCACCATATTTAACTCAGTCATGTTTGGAGAACAACTTCTAAAAGCAGGAACAGAGAGCTTATAACAGGAACAGGCACTATTTCAATATTTTAGAAAGTCATTTTAAAGTTTCATGACAAATATTATGGAGCTTATTATAAGCTTATATATATATATATATCAATATTTAAGGGGCTTATATACTCACACACACACACACACACATCTGTGTGTGTGTGTGTGTGTGTGTGTGTGTGTGCATATACCTGTTGTTCAATAATAACCACCATAGACTTTATTTTCCATTAAGCTTGAGCTACATGAAACTTTAAAAAAGGAGTACTGGATAATCAATAATTTTATCAAGGTATCCAGAGCATTAGTAGTCATGAGTATACAAGCTAATGCCAAGAATTATCTGTATTTTCAACTCAAAAAGGATTATAATCTCCACAGTTTAAAATTCTGGTGGTTATGGGTAATGATCTTAGCTGACTGTATAATTAATTCCCAAGATAGGTATCTGATAATGTAATATCTAGTTTCTATCTGTTATCAAATAATATACAAATTTGGTCCATCTAAACTTCGGACATCGATGTCAGCTACCTCAGAGGATTTCTGTTAAGATCAAATGGGAATTGTCTTAGGGGCGCCTGGGTGGCTCAGTTGGTTAGGCGGCTATCTTCAGCTCAGGGTCATGATCCCAGGATGCTGGGATCGAGTCCTGCATCGGGCTCCCTGCTCAGCAGGGA